GAAAAATTGCATTTTAAGCAGTTTTGTTCATTGTTTCATCTTGTAGGTGTCTATCCTTACTGGTGGTAATGCGTTTTATTAAATATAGAGGGTCCTACAGAGTCTGCATTTAGATTTTGCTTTTATGGAGTGGTATTAAATATTTCCCCTCAAATATAGACTGTTGTTCCACGACTACCTGTATAGTTATTATTTGATTTTTCTTAAATTGGATTTTTTTTCTATTTTTTATTATCATCATTATGATTTTTTTTAGTTCTATGTTTTGAAGTGAATATAATCTAAGTACCTAAAATGTATTTATTCATAAAGCAAATTAGCAATATAAAAAACAATCTAAACATTTTGGGGTTAAATCAAATTTTGGTAAATTGTATTTTTTAACTCTACTTGTTGGTTTTTGTAAATCTATACTTCCATCCAAATGTTTTTGTAAATATTGTTTGCAAAAGATAAAGTAGTACTTGTGTCTGATGTGACAGGAAACATGACTGTGACTTAAATTCATTTTTTTAAAATCCGTATTAGATTTTTTTGCAGCTGTGTTGCATTCTATGATCCATTTAACTCAATCATCAATTATTTGTTTATTAAGATTTATGTTGGCTTGTCCAAAACATACAAGTATAAAGGGTCTTTAATAAATGCCTATTTAATGTTTTCATCTCACCTCTTACTTTATAAACTTCAGTTTGAATACTAATGACAAATTTCTAGTGCTATAGCAGCCTTCTGTCCCCCATGACCTATCATTAGTGCTTAACCTATTAATTTTGAATCAGGTAATATTCATAGATACTTACTTTATTTAAAACCAATTCTTCCAAACAAAAAAAAAACATGTAATTGGATGTTCTTTCTAATGGCTGAGGATAACCTAAAATATTCTCCCCTTGTTGTGTTTAATGATATTGGATATGATGCATCTATTACTCATTGCTGACTAACTATCCCAGTGAGATTAGGTTAATGTAGATCTCATGAATAATGAGCTGTAATAGCAGAGGATGCTGCAGAATGTCTTTGCCCTGTAGAGTATAGAGTCTTGCTTTGTTTGCTCACAGGCCTGGATTCACAGTAACGACCTACAAGAATTCAACTGTTTTCCTCAGTCATTCATATGGAAGTGGCTTCTTTAAGATTTCCACAAAACTCTTACAAAGTAAAGATAATTGAACTCCATTGAGTTCATTTGTCTACAAAAATGTTAGAAAGCTGCAATATGTAATTTTTGTTAAAACCTGTGACACATAATCTGTGAAAAAATAAAATTAAGCTCCTCTAGCTTCCCCTCAGGGTAATATGCCCATGTAGAGAAGTGCGCAGCTCCTGGTCAGAAATAACCAATAAGGATCAAGGAGAACTGTCAGCCACCCTCGTGTATGTGCTGTTCACACCCTTCCCTCCACTCCCCATTAGCATGCATTGAAAGTCATTTTTGGTTAGTCATTTATTTTACCCAGGGGACAAAACTCATGTCCATTTCCACTTTGTCATTTGTTGTTTTTTTTCTGTTTGGATTTTATGTCTTTACCTGCTGCTGTCCCAGATGGCATTTAATTTAAAAGTAATTAAGAAAACCGAGCATTTCTTTTTTTATATAGTTATTTTATGTTACAAGATGAAAATTCTTTCCTTTAAATATCTATATAAATTAAAAACAGACATTTTAACCACTTAATGTTATTTTTTCAAATACGATGCGATAGGTTTTGAAAAGATAAAACTTTTAAATCCTTCGGTTTAACAGATCTGCTCAACTCTAATGTATTTTCAATAGTGGTTCCATTTTGGGTCATCTGTTTAATAATTTCACTTGTTCTGCTCCTCTGGGTCCCTTTTATTTAATTATGGCCTCCTTTGTATCATCATTGCCTCACTCTGTCTTTGTGAGGGCTCCCTCCATTTCTGCTTGGCACTAGAAACAGTCACTTCTGTCATGCTGTGATGACAGTTTATGTTCATAGCTGGGACATCACAACTCATTAATGTCAGATACGCCGGCCTGCACGTAAAGGACATTCTGATAACAATTATGCAATGAAAAGCCTGTCGGCAGTGGATCTGTGAATTAATGTCATGGCTGTATGTTTTCAGCTCTTACTCTAAGACAACATCCTAAATAATTTTGCCTCAGGAAGAATCAAAGAATCCCAGTCGCTTTTCTCCTACTAAACCTTCAGATGACTCAAGTGAACTTCTGTTGAACGCTAAACATTTAGTCTAAAAAAAAAAGTTACCAGCACAGTTGGACTCTTCCAACTTTATTTGTAAGTGACTTAAAATAAAAAAAAACTTTTAAATTTTGAATGTTGAATTAATCAGGCTAGTCAAGTTGAAAATCGGCCTATGCCAGTCTCCTGCTGAGCAATCGGTTCATCTCCGTGTCAGTGTTTGTGTGTTCTCTGTGCTGCAGGCCAACAAGACAAATGGTACTGTACAGCCGGTGGCAGTACTTTTGTATGTAAGCCACCAGTGTGTGGTAGATTGTGTGCATCACAGCGAGTGAGAGAGAGTCATGGCAGATGCTCTCCTCAGCCGAGTACACATGCTCCAGTACTGCTGCCATCTGGTTGTGTGAGTGTATCTGAGGGCGCAGAGCTGGTCACCGTGAAATCACTGATGGATAGGAAGGCTCAAGGCTTAAATCCACTTAAGATGGTGAGCAGAGATGTAGAGAGGTAGAAGGGGGGTTCACGGACTGTAACGCCTTTGTCCCTTTGAAAGGGCAGATGGAGGGAGCACTGTGCTGGAAGAGTGCAGTGGCGCAGTCATGCATTGAGGGAAATGATAGGACGTTGGCAAGCCAGAGAAAAACATGAGTTGTGATGGCAAATTCATCTGGAGGAAATACAACATTTAAACAAGTTAGCTTCTATTGTTGTTCATGATCATACCTCCTACAACAAATGACATCACTTGTGTACTTGTTGAGACTTGATGTCCAAAAACGTAATTATAAATGGTTCAGATTGTTATGCCAATCAGTTGGCTTCTGATTGAAGTTGGTGAATTTGGTTTTATTTCCCTATCTAACAAATGCATAAAAAATTGCAAATTTATCAGAAAGCAGAATTAGCTTTAATGCAGCTGAAGTTGAGTGAAGATCGGATAAAGTTTATCGTTCTGTGCGTTTTTGTGTAAATTGGGACAAGCTCTAAAACACCTTTACATTTTTCCACTGGATTTAGTGCTTCTTTTACAAATTACTCAAAGAACATTATTTCTCTTGATTTTCAGTGTCCGACAGCTTAAACCTGAAAAATGATTGTCAAAAAGCTTTTTCACTGAACTTTATATATCCGACATCATATTCTAATTTATGAGTGATTTTTGAAACAACAGCAAAATAAATGCTTATAACATTCATGAAGAAGTGAATGGTTCAAAAGCAAATAGACATGCAAAAAAAAAACTAAAAAACAAGGAAAAGATTTGTTTCTGTGTGCATCAAATGCATTATTACTCAGAACTTCAATGCTTCAACCAACATTTATTTTAAATCATTTTAGTTTATTAAAGGAGAGATTAAGATTATGCATACATCTCTTTCTTCTTTTTGTTTTTGAATTCAATTACAAATCGAGTTGCCAAACATTAAAAAAACGGTCTAAAGATGAAAGTGCAAATGTCAGATTTTTTTTTTCTTTTTTTTGGCTAAAGGTTATCAGAAAAATCTATCATTAAACATGTGAATGACCTGCCAGATAACTACACCTGTTAAAAGAAAAACATACAAAAATAAATAAATGTAAAGTATTGTCCAAACTGACAAGCTCATTTTGTGAAAAATTAGCAGGCTTATTTTACATTTCAATCTGACGTTGGATATCATCTTGGACCTCTCCTTGCAGCCACACATCATGTAAGATCCACGGTGCAGGAATGAGATGTAATGCACGGAGAGGAAACGCTGAGCAAACCAGTCGTGACTCTTGCTCTTTAGAAGAGGTTATCTTTGGCCATACAGGCCTGCCTGTCTGCCTCCATCACATCAAAACATGCAAACGCTGCCTGTGGAGCTGACCCGCACAGGGCTAGAAATCACTGTCATCCTTTTTTACCCTTGGTTCACACGCTTCTGCTTCGTTCTTTCACCTCTTTTAGAAATAATGTCACTTTCTGGACTTTTTAAATCCAGTTGTCACTTTATGTTTTTTTCTGTGCCTCTTTTCTCTTTGCTGGATTTGTTCAGATACTTTTGCTCTTCATCTCTTGTACACACTTTCTTCCTTGTTTTTCTTTGAAAACCACCTTCCATGCATTCTTTCTCTCAGGCATCAGTAGAAGTCTACTTCTGGCTGGCGTTTTGCTGATGACTGGAAGCTAAATGTGTCTTACTCAACGTGGCATGCTCGAACACAGTCAATTGTTGAAATTATTTTCAGATATTTAACAGAGATGGCTGTTTTTTCTGGGAGTTGTGTTTGCTGACCATCACAAGTATTCTGTCAAATTGGGGAAAATCTCCCTCTGTTTGCTTATAGCTGCAGGTCGAGGTATTTTCCTTCTTTCTTTAAGATGTTGTTTTAATTTTTTATGACTGTACCTTTGTTAATGAATACAAATCACTTACGGTAAGTCATATTGTGTAAGTCATAATGTTTCAGTAAATGTTTCAGTCCTTAATTTCTTTTACCGTGGCTCCAGATTCTCTGTTTTTCCAGCAGGCAAAATCTTCAAAAAGTGCGTTGACGGAGTGATGCATCAGTCAATGCATCACTCTAAGATGTGGTGTTTAAGGGATTTTATTTGGTTAACAAAGTTTAATGAGCTTCTGAAGTTATTGGTTTAATGCATTGACTTAAAATCCTCCCCATTCGTTCTTGTTTTGTGTTTTTTATGGGAATGTTTGAGTTGCGTGTCTGCTGCTCTCTGAGTCAGCTGGACATTCTTCTGTGTTCCTTGTGATTTTCTTCTTGTTTCGCAGAGTATATTTACAGCTGCTAATTATATACATCTCCTGCTATGCACTCATTATTCCCTCTTTTCTCTCTTAGGCTCTTGCGACTCACCGAGCCTACCTCCTAACAGCACGCATTCCAGCAAAGGTAAGAAAGACTGCAGAGGTATCGTCTTTATTTAAAAAAGAACAAACAAAGGAAAAAACTCCATTGGAATGCACTAATTATACTGTGCTGAACTAAAATTATTTTGGTCACAGGGTACTCTCTCCTGTTTGTCACAAAAAAAAAATCAGTTGATACTTTTTGCAATTAAATAAACAATTTATGCAAAAGTACGTTTAAAGGAGTTCTAACCTGGTACCTATCTCCAGTGGTCATTGGGCGAGAGGCGGGGTACACCATGGATAAGTCGAGAGCCCATCACTGGGCAGCACAGAGGACCAGCATGCATACACACTCATACCTGTAGACCAGAAGCCCACTTAACACAACAGCCATGTTTTGGACTGTGGGAGGAAGCTGGAGTACCCTGAGAGAACCCACACATGCACAGGTGGAATATCTAAACTCCATGCAGAAAGATTTGAACTTGGAAGTTTCTTGCTTCTCTGAGATGAACGCTGATCCATGACTGTTTATTGTTTGGTCGGCTTATAAAAGCTCAAAAATATTTGAATTTATCCAATCTATTTAAGTCCTTTGAAGCTGGGGGAATTCATTGATTTTGAAAGCAGAAAGCTTCAGTATCGACTTGCTATGTTACAGTATGGAAACTCAGTTTGCTCCTGGCTGTAAATTCAGAGCTGAAAACTGCCTGTGGCTCCTTTTATTCTCTTCTCAGCGGGTTTTTCTGTGCAAGGCTCTTCGATTGATGATTTGGCTCCTCTTGTATAAAGCTCTGGGGCTTAACAGTCTGTGACTGCTCTGCAGCATTCACACAGGCTGTTTCTCACTCACATAATCATTCATGTCTTCTTCCAGCTTCCCCGCCTCTTTGTTTGTTTTTTATGCCAGGCTCTGGAAAAATCTGGAACTTCCTTTTAGTATTTTCCAGGTTTGGCTATGTGTAGAAGAATGAAAACTCGGTGTCAAAAAATATTTGTTTTTTTTAAACTTCATTCATTATACTTTTGCTTAAAAGTTAAATAAATAAATGGGTAAAGTGCTTTTCACATAGGTTTATACTCTTTGTCTTAGGATTGAAACATTCATTTTAATATTGTCATCAAGCTTATTAGTGGCACCGAGTGATGGAACCCACAGATAATCACGACCAATATTTTAATCTTGGCATTTTTATTCTAGTTTTTGGTTTGTTTCTGCTTAGTGACCGAGAATCAATAAGTTTCTTTCCATGTTTCTTTCTTTACTGGAAAAAAATCTGAAACAGTTCCAAAGCGATGCAGCAAAACAGATATGCTAAGATACACTGTAAGCGTAAAAATAAAGCATAACATCACATTAAATGATTTGTTACAATCATTTTTTTATACCAGCCAATGAAACCTAAATGATAAGAGATACTTGAAACCACAACAAACACAAAAAAGATGAGCTACTAAGTTGACAGATGGATAGTGGATGACTGACCAAACAGCATTTGGTTCCACCACACAGCTCCCAGTGTGACATTGTAGTCACTCGTTAGCTTAGATTTATCACCATATTGACTTCAGTAAGAGCCATCAGAAAGCAGAAGTAGATGAAATTGCAAATAAAACAATAAAAAAAATCCATGCCAAAGGTGCATTGTATATTATTGTGCCACACCAAAGTCTAAAAGTTGCTGTAATCATAGTTTGTGTAGCAGAAGATTAAAATGTTGGTCGAAACCAGTGGGTGTGTCGAGCATTGCTGATGGACCACAGACATCGAACAATGCATTTTCTCACAGGCAGAGTAGCAGTAACAGCACAGTCACAACAGGAGAGCGCTTGATAACCAGAAACCTGTAATATTCACCTGACACACATTTAGCTGGTGTCTACTGAGGCCCATAATTTATGCTTTACATTGTACTATATTCACTGAGGGAAATGTATGCAGCCTTTAAGCCTCTGCTCATGTGGAATGAACTGTGACAAAGAAGCAAGTAGCATAGTCAATAAGGTTATCTTCTCACACTTTTTTTTTCCAAACTACACAATCCAGTGTGAAAACATGAAGCCTAACTCCTTTTTGTGTGTTTGGCAACATATCTCACAAACTGAGCTTTATTTCTTTGGGATTTTAGTTTTTCATCCTTTGTGTATTTATTTATTTCCTTCTTTGAAATGATTATAAATGATTCTATAGAATGGAAATCAATGAGTGGGCATCTTTTTTCCAAATGTAAATGTAAAAAATCGGATTGTTTATATATTTGAGTGTGTTCAAACCCATTGGGAACAGAAAGGCACACACACACACCTACGCACACGCACCCACACACACACACACACACACACACACACACACACACACACACACACACGCACACACACACACACACACACACACACACACACACACACACACACACACACACACTCTGTACTGTAGTGAGACAGTAGACAGACTGCATATCCTCTTCCTCTCTCTCATCTCTGTGCCAAGCCTGAGAAACAGAGCTCCCACCTGGAATAGTCTGGTCTCGCTGCCCTCAGGCTCTCTGTTGTTCGGCTTTCTGAAAGAGGAAGGAGTGGTGGAAAACTGTGCTCATTGTGACTGGGTGCAGGATACTGCACTCAGTCACAGTAAAACAACTTATTTTGGTCTCTTTTTAGACATGGAAGTATAAGCAATGAGGTTTTTCCTTCTAATTTTCGGTGTCCTAAAATGCCCTCCTTAAACAGAAATGAAATATGTTAATGCAAGGGTGTTGGAAATGGTAATGCAGAACAAATTGTAAACTGTGGAAGGAAGAGTCAGCTGGTGGAAAAAAATAAAAAAAAAATATATATATATATATATATATATATATATATATATATATATATATATATATATATATATATATATAATGATTTGTTTTTTAACAGTAAAAGTGACTATAGCCATATGCATCAAAAATCAAACCCATTTAAAGAAACATACTTTCTGAATGAAATTATTGATTGATCTAGTGCTAAACTCTTGCTGAAACTATAAAACTAAACAGATCAGATTTGTTTTATACCTCTTTGTCTTTGTCTGATTTCATAGCAGTTTTTTTTCTATCTGATTTTTTTCTTTTTTTGTAGGTGGAACACTCCTTTAATTATCTGGAGATCCAGGGAATAACTTCCAGCAAGCCGACCCAGGTATTGCACATTACCTATGAGAATGAAATATTGAAACGAGTTTTACATTTTTGGAAATATAAATAGAGTAGAAGAAAAATGGCTTATTGGAAACATTACATGTTGTTTAAAATGAGTGCATTAGTTTAAGTATGTTAAAGCTACAAGGTAAGCTAAGCCTAATTTTGTGTGGCTTGCAGACCCCTTAACTTCTTTCAAATTTTATCATTTTACAATCACATAATTAATATTTTATGATAGGAAAAATCTGTAATATATACTTGTTTTCAGGAAAAATCTGTAATATATACTTGTTTTCAGGCCTTGCACTGTATTTAGAGCTGGATATAATCTTCTAATATTAAAGTATTCATTTTGTCTGCCAACTTTGAACATCTCAACTATTACCTGGCTACCAATTCTTCTTTGCCACATAGTTCAAACTCATTGGATGAGTGTGTGCTTGAACAGCAATTTTCGATCCTTGCTGCAGTAGGGTTCAGGTCTGGGCTTGGACTGGGCCATTATGACACAAGAAGCCCTTGCTATTTGTCTACCACCACCATCATGCTGATTTGGGTTGAACTTCCAGCCCAAATCTTTTGCAGCAGATTTTCCTTCAGGATTTCAATTAAATTGCTAAATTTGTCTTTAGCGCTGCCCTTGTGGCTCCCTGGAGCTTTTCAAAAATGTTTGAAAATTGAAAAAGATGGGAATGGAAAATATATTTTTTGTTCTAATATGGTTTTTGTAGGAGGACAAACACAACAAAAACATTCTTAAAGGGGATTGTAAACTCTGGACTTGAAGTACTGCTGCTACTACATATATGTACTACTTATTTGTGTGCTGCCTGTCTGACAAAGGATGTCAAAGGTACTAATTATGTACCTGGGAAACTGGAAGTGTCATATTTATGGCTCCAGTTGTTGTGAAACTAGCAGAGAATGTAAAAACGACAAAAATAACCCCTACAATGACAAATCTCAGGAATATTGTATAAAAACGTAAGCAAGAAATAAACACTACCTCTGGAAAAAGTCAAAGTGTGCTGATTTTTAAATTGAAGCTCTCCCAAGTGTCAGGCACCAAGTTCCTGCACACGTACTACTTGAAGCAGCTCCTATAAATTGTGATTGGGAATTGATGCTGCTCAAACCTAATCATGTTCTTCATTCTGAGCTTAAAAAATAGCTGCCTCATCACACTTCAATTTATCGCTGACCTGGTTAGGAAGAAAATCAGACATTGTTTTCATTTCTGTCAAATTGTAATGTTTTGGCTTCTCATTGGAAAAAGCACAAACATATTAAAGTTTGTGAGCACTCGTTCAGATGCGGCTCATCTGAACGAGTGCTTTAAAATGTTCATAAATCTTTCATCTCTGCTTGAAAGACTGTCCTTAAAATCGCAACACATCTTTTAATGAGGAGCTAAAATGGACAAATCCAGAAACACACCCTCACAATATCTGAATCCTTCTGTAATCCTTAAAAACTCATTAATAGCAGACATATCTAGGCTGAGCCCCCAAAGGCTTTTTGACTGGAGCGAGTAAGCTGCCAATCAGTAGAAGCAACATTCAGAGTACAATTTGTCACACACCATCCTGTTTCTGCAGCTGTACCCCTGTCCTGCTCATTTTGACTGTCAGTTCTCTGAATATTTTGACTGAGGGTCTCCTGTGTCCCTGCCAGGAAGAAATATGCTAATTCTGGCCCACAGAGGAAGCAAGTGTGTCAATATATCAGCATTTGCATAATTGCAGTGAAGACTCAAATGGTTAAGAGGTTTGTTTATGTTATTAAGCCCCTGTCTACTAGTATATCTAATAAATCCTTAATTGTGTTAATGAAAAAAACACGACTGAGCTAATATGCAGTAAAATACTTAAAAAAAAAATATATATATATATATATATATAGAAATCATTAGTCTCATCAAAAACAAAACAAAACAAAAAAAATCTGACATTTGGGCTGAGAAAAGACGGACAATTGAATAAAGCAAGAACATGTTCTTGCTCATGTTTCCCAAACTAATTCTTTAGATCAACAATAAAAAAAGACAAGCATAAAGGGCAAAGACAACTTTTGGGGTCAGCTTTATGAGCAGTTTTTTTTTTTTTTTTTACTGACTGACTTGTATTGATCATTCATTATCAATTTATGCTTTTAGCTACTGGTAGAGTATGAGCGAGGCTCATTTTCAGTGAAGCTGCTCTCCACAGAGGAGGTGAATGATGTGGTCGCTCATGTAGGAAACTGTCTGCTCAGGATATGTCCTGGTCTACCACCCAGGTAAGTGTAGTCGGTACGGATGATACATTAGTCTACAAAAGTGTTTCTAAAAAAGTCCCTTTTTAGTGTTTTCGCTGAATCATTTCAGAAATTTAGATTTCTCCTTGCACAAAACCCAAGAAGGTTAAACTTCTGCATGGATGTATAATTTTTCTGATTGTTCATGTATGAAGTTTTGTATTGTCCATTAGTAAGATGTTTCTGTAGGTACCGTGATGATCCATTTAATCCTCTAACACCTCAAAGGAACCTGAAGTCTCCTTTTTAAAGGTTTTTGGATCTTAACATTGGATTTATTCTCACAGAAATATTTAACTGAGCTAAACTCAAACTAAATCTGTCATTTAAACAGGGCAAGTGTCTTTCAAAAAGCTGAGTAATGATGTTCTAATCTAATGAGCCTTATTTAAAACGCCTTAGTGTTGATCTTAAAATATTTTCAATAAATGTGGGGACTTTAGATGATAAGTATTCAATTAAACCATTAGCATATTTGCCTTTTCTTGCAGCATTGCAAAAGTATTTCACTTTTATCTACAGCAATAGATAATTTCTGAGGCTTTCATCTGCTGCAGCACAGAAATGAATGAGCTAAACGTTTTCACTTCTCTCCTCAGTAAAGTGATGAAGAAGCTTTGCATGGAGCCTCCAGACCGACTGAGCTGCCTGCAGACTCTGTGGGAAAACAAGCCTGCTGAACCTGGACCTTGTGGTAGGATCCTGACACTTTACCTTAATTGCTGTCGGCCTTTAAAACGTAATATTAAGAAGTGAGTGTGCATTCATATAACACCCCTACTAGTTGCTGCTGGTGTTTATCTTTCCCTGCACAAGGTGAGATGAACTCTGATTATATCAGTCACTCCACCTTATATAACTATGGGTCTGTGTGTCTCTGTTTCTCTGCCTGTAGGTGGGTTTTCCCAGCTGTACCGGTGTGTGTGTGACTGGTTAGGACTACCTTACAGAGAAGAAGTGCAGTGGGTAAGTGTGACTTACTGTCTTTTTTGGTGTAGTTTCACATGAGAGCTGTGCACCTGTCTGGTTTGCTTCTGGCTACATAAAACTGCCTGCTGTCTTTTGATGAATATGAGTGCAACAACACTAAGGTTGAATGTATTATTGAATGTTTCCTTTGCAGGATGTTGATACCATCTACTTGACACAAGACAGCAGAGAACTCAACCTGCAGGACTTCAGCCATCTAGAGAACAGGTCATTATTGTCTTTCTTTAGTCTTACTGATCAAAATGTAGGTTATTTTTGTTGAAAACAACACTGAGCAAAATAAAACTGATATGCTTTGAAGGGATAATATTAATAGTTTGCACCATTAATAAGCAGAAACAAGTATGTCTATACTGAATTGTATTTCTCAGAAAAAGTCACTGCTGGCTCCTCTGTGCATCATCAGGGATCTGGTAGCTATAATAGCAGTCCTGGAGTTCAACCAGTGGTTCACCAAGCTGTCTACCAAGGATTACAAACTGGTCAGTACCTGCTAAAATCAAAAAATCCTTCTTTTACTTTTTCTGTTTGTGTTTTGTATTATTATTAAGTCTTATTATAATGTATGGAGGTAGTGTAGAGGCATTTGTACTAAACAGAGTCAAGGCTGCTGACAGTGTATTTCATTAATTAAAAAATACACTTTTTAATAAGAAAAGTCTTGACCGATTCTACCATTTCAATGCCTTAATTTATTTCTGTGTTTTTCTATAATTTTCTAGTCTAGTTTACTTTCTATCTTTCCCTCTGTGGGTGATTTTTATATTCATCTCTTTCTTCTTCTGTATTGGACTGTGTATAGCTGAACCTGTCTGTAGAGAATATTTGCTTTTTTTTGTCTTCCCCTGCAGTATTTTGACTGAGGATCAGTCCAAATGTTCTTGTGTGATAAGACTCCTAATCCAAATGAGACAAAGGGGTTCAATGTCTGAGGCTGTTTCCCTCCCACCCCCACTCCTGGTTCATCACTTCATCACTCAGCATATCCACGCTTCTCTCAGTCCCACAAATTACCGCACGCAGCTTCCTGCGTCCAAACAATTGCCTCACACCTCCGTCGCAGACATTTCTAGTTTCCTGCAGGCATCTGCTTGAGTAGTCCTTTGTGGCAGCACAAATTTAGCATGAGCCTTGGTGCCTCATTCATATGTGGCACAGGTGGTTTTTGATGATGCAAAAATCTGAGAAATTCCATGTCATAATTTTGGTTCACTGGAACAGAAGATTACTCTATCAAAAACCCAACCAGGATTTACTCATGCATGGCTGTAAAGCAACATATGCAGATTGTTGTGTCAGGGTTCCTACACAGTCTGGAAAGATTTGGAAGTTGTATTTTCCAAGTTCATTAAACTAGGAAACGAGAACATAGATTCAACTATTCAACCGTCCATGTCCATCCATTCATAAATCCAACCATAAATCCATTTCATATGTCCATCCATATTGCAGGTGCAATATTTAAACATTGAAGGCAGCAGATATATTTGCACTTAGATTTTTAGCGAACTTCTAAAAACAGAGCCATTTGTAGAAACCATTTATATGGTTGCCCAGACTCTGCATTGAGCTAGTTATCAACTAGCTCAATGTTCCTGAAAACATTTGAAACTGTTTAAAAAGATATTGGACTGAGCAGTTAATTGTACATTTCCAGGATGTTGTCATTGTGTCCTTTCCTGTGGCGTTTCATGTATGTAAGGGCATCACAAAGAGATGAGTGAAGGCAGGGAGGAAAAGTGGTGATACAGCAAATAGAGAAATGGCGAGGCCTGGGAGAAAATGACAGATGAATAAGAAAACAAGTCAGCTTTTGACAAGGAAGCCTCAAAGGAAGATGGAAAAGACACAAACTTCAGTTTTTAACTCCTCAAAATGAGAACGAATGAATCCTGCAGACTTACAGAAGTTCACCACTGAGTGTTATATCAGTCCTGTTGACAATGTAATATTTTACATCTGAAATAAATAAATTGAACAGATATGTGTCGAACATGAAGAGAGAAGAAAATGTTGCTGAGAAGATGAGTAAAACCAAACCCTAAAGCTGCAAGTCCAAATCACATTCTGACCACCTCAGTCAAACAGATAAGGAAACTCTGCGCTGTTCATTAGATAAACAACACACACATACACACACACACGACAGGCTTTCACAGCAAAGGATTATGCTGCTCATCCCCAGTTCAATCAGGCTATTAGTCTTGGGGGGGCTGATCAAGATGTTGAGCCAAATTGAGATAAGAAGGGAGGATGAGAGGACTGCAGCGATAAGAGGACTAACCTTCTGGCAACCTCAGGATTGGACAGAAACTGTGGAGGCATGTTCAGTTTGACCAGATGTAGGGTCAGGACATTAATTCATGACCACGCTGGTATATAATGAGGACAGAATGGTACAATACACATGCTGACGGTGTCACTGTGCTGTGCTGCTGCGACGACTGCAGAATGGATCTTTCTGTGTTTCCATTTGACTATTTTCTCACATTTCAGCCCATTTCACCCCCTCAATACTCATTTTATTTCTCCTCAGTTTGCTGCCATCCCTCCTTCTGCTTCTTTAATGCTCGTGGTTCTCCAGGATAGCTGTGTGAACAACAGTCCCCTTCTTCTGTGCTGTCCAGTTATTCTCTCTCTTTTCCATTATTGCGCCCGTCTTTCTCTCCTCCTCGCTGCTGACTCGCGTTGGACAATGCGTCCCCTGTCTCCGCCACACTGAGACAGCAGGCGAACAGAAGCAGTTCTTGTAAGGCTGATGTTGTAAATCATGAATAATAACACAACATCCCAATAAAGTTCTGTCATTATAATGGAAACTGTTTGCTAGACTTTTAAAAACTTTTATTAAAAAAAATAAGTCATTCTGAATGCATATCTATGCGTCATACACTTCATGTCTGGCTCTGACGCAGCTCTCAGAGAAGTGGGTCAGTGAACATCGAGGTGGTTTCCAGACTTTCAGTTGTTGAATTTTTAATTTTGTTTAAATATGAGTGCTTTCTCCTGTTGTGCTGAGACCACAAAAGAGAGGCGACTTGTTCCTCCATGGGTCTGCTCTCCCCCATGTGTCTTTCTCACACATGAACAGCTTCAGGTGGAGGATCGAGATCTTGTTTTCTTTTTCACATTCTGCTGCACAGTTTTAATTTGCCCTGCATTTTTGGAAACCTAAGAGATTCAGCCCACTTTTTCTTGTGAACTTGATTACGTCAGTCTCAAGTTTTGATGTTTTACATCTCAAGGGACCAATAAATAATCATTTTATTGATATTTTCTAGAATTTACTGGAGTGTAAAAAAACTCAAATTTTTAACATCTATGTATTTATTTTTTAAGTTTTAATAGGGTTATCTTTCTTTATTTTGTTGAATGTGCCAAAATAACCCAAAAAGCAATGAACATTTAAATTATGTCACTTGGTAATATCGTTGAGCAATGAAAGGAAAGTCTGAACTACAAATAGTTTACACATTGCAAAGTTATGTATTCCCAGATTGATGTTTAGTCATTCTAGTTTGATCAGGGATCAAAATCTGCCACATTTTTTCTGAAGTGTATGTTGGCTCAAATGGGCATCAGAATTAAAAAGAATGGAAATAGGGCTTTAATTCAGAATGGGACATAATGTTATTTAAATTACAAGTGAGATTTGGTGATATATCTCAGTAAAGCATGAAAATGATTTCATGCACATATTTTTTTAAGATTACAAAACCAGCCAGAATGGAGAAAATGGCATTGATTGGTACTAAATAGTGGAATTGGCTGCAGGGGGAACTGCACTCACGATGTAGATGTTATTACACCCACAACACATTCTATAAAAATAACTAAGATAATCTAGTTCTGAATATTTTTTGTCCTCATGTGCCCTCAGTCTGCAGACGTATGTGAGCAGATTCTTCGAGTGGTGTCTCGATCCAATCGACTAGAGGAGTTGGTGTTGGACAACGCAGGACTCAAAACGTAAACGATACGTTTAATTTAATTTTGTTTCTGCTTTGTTTTAATTGTTGAAGAACCCTCTGCCCAAGTTTAGTGAAGCATGAGTATTTAATTCAGGGAATAATCTAAAGTTGAAATAGTTTGAAGTAAATGAGAGCTTATCTTTTGGCTTTGATACAAAAGTAAATTTTAGGAGAAATTTTTTTCTATCAGGTAAATTAACAAATAGATCATTTTAATTACTCTTAATTTTGTGTGATTTTTGTAAATTTCTACTTCATATTCATATATTTAATCATTTTATGTTTGAGTCTTTCTACGGATGAATGAATGTTTTCCATTTCCCAAGAGTATGTTCTCAATAAATCCTTTCTCAACTTCCAGAGAGTTTGCCCAGAAACTCGCTGCTGCCCTGGCCCACAACACCAGCTCAGGACTTACTTCCATTAATCTTGCTAACAACCCACTGGAAGACCGAGGTACAGTCAATGTCCTGATTCACTTGCTGATTGATTCATTGCTGCTTCAAAGTTCCCTTTTATGCCTTTTATAGCCTCTGTGATCATTCAGTGCACTGCTCCTCTGTTACATTCTTTATAATGCTTTAGCTCTCTTCATATTCAAGGTAGTGACTAGCAAGACGTAAGAAGGAATACTGAGCCGTTTTTTTATTCTGCTTTTTATATATTCTATGCTGGAATTATTTACCTGGAACTTTTTTTCTGATTTTTCTTTTTCTACATTCATTCAATCAGAATAAAAAAATCATTGAAATTAAAAATATCAAGAACATGAATTGTTGGAACCTGCAATTGTTTCAAAATTACAGCCATTCAGCAATATAAATGCATTAAAATGAATGTAACTTCTGTTAAAGGCAGTGCTTGCCTATAAAGAACTTTGCATTTAAAAGTTAAAAAGTAATTGACACATCCTGTTGCAGATATAAAATAAACATCTTTTTGTTTTGTTTTTTTTGCTTGCTGCAGGTGTTTCTTCTCTTGCTGCGCAGTTTGCCAAACTTTGTTTGGGCCTCAAGCATTTAAACTTTTCCAAAACCTCACTCTCACCCAAAGGTATGTGCAATTTTCCAATTACACAGCTGTGGCAAAAGAGAAGACAATGTGATGTTTGTAATGAAGCTGTGTTTTGATAGAGGCATAGCATTTTAGTGTTTTGTGATTATTTTATTTTGAATTGTTGCTGTTTTAATTTCCCTTGATACCAGAAACAATTCATATCTTTCATTAGTCTGATTGCATCACCAGCTGACTTGCTGCTGATACTTATTACAGCACTAATAGAGTGGAGATGGAAAAAGAAGGAGAAGATTTGCGTTCACAGGCTGTTTAGTAGTGTATTGTGTATTTCTTTCTGCATAATGAGTGTTCTCCGGAGTTTTTAACTTTAGTTAATTAAACTAAACACTGTTTCACATAATGGGAAATGTCTCACTTATCGAGAGAGATGAACATTCAACAGAGTTTAGAAAGAATAAATGTCAAACATTACATGCAGATTACATCATTGACGTTTCCCATCCCTGTTCTCAGTACCAGGTAGCCTGTCGGGATTCACTGCCAACATGTCCTGCTCTCAGGAAGTCAATAGAGCTATCGTGTTTCCACTCTGAATGTTTGAAAGGTCCTGTGCTGCCTAAACTGTAGCCTGATTCTCTTGCCAAAGGCTCAGCCCATATTCTGTGGCCCCAGAGAATTAATAGCACTTTTTAAACCTTATTTTAACTATTTATTTTTCAACGCAAGCTGTATTCTTTTTTTATCTGTCTAACTTGATCAGAAGAGTCTCGGGTTTTATGACCCAGGACTGTCAGTCAGGACATCACTGCTGAAATATGTCAGATCAGCTTGTGAGTCATGTGATGGATTTGGCACAAATCAGAGGCTGAACACACCGCTGCACCAGGCTGCCATAGAAACAGCTTTTGTTTTTCAAATTTGTAAACCCCTGGGCACTTTTGAAGTGATCCAATGATGCATTATCTGCAGAGACACTTTTCTGTTTTGGGAGGTTTTAAAAGTATATATTGTAATAAAGTGATTTTGTATAGCAGAACATTGACTTGCCTTTTAAAAATCCAGAATCTTTTGTGTTTACAACCAGATCCTTCTGTCTCCAGGCTTCACCTGCTTCTCATTTCCTCTGTCATTTCCTTCAAAATGCTTTCAGAAATGTCAAGTGAAGATTTGAGCATAGTGATAAAGCCAACACTGCAGGGCTGTTTATCTGTGTGTATGCATGTGTGAGTGTTTATGTGTCTGTTTGGGCTTTAGGGGTGAACAGCCTTTGCCAGTCACTGAGTGCCAACCCATCCATCGCCAGCAGCCTAGTCCATCTGGACCTCTCAGGAAACATGCTCCGAGGAGACGACATGCAGGTGAATACCCTGCCACTCAAGCCTGATCACTAAATATGAGTGTCAAAACCAAATCAAATATGAATACATTAGTAATACCGAGCATGTTGGAAAACGCTCAGTGACTTATGTGACCTGCATGTAAGAAGTGCATCTGTTCTTTCTCTGGACAAGTCTTGTAACAATAGACACAAGAATAATGTTTTGGAAAGAAGTTGGGTGCATGTTTTGAAAAAAAAAAGAGAATGGATAAAATATAAAAACAAAATAAAAATATACAACATTTTGCTTCAGTGTTTTAAAAGAACACAAAGCAAATTCACTAGTATTCAATGTGATTTAATTTTGAGAAACTGGAACTGAGCATAGTACATTGAACTGTTCTTGCTTTTATGTGTGTGATAGACACAATTCATGCTTTCAAAAGACTTTGTAAGAACAATTGGAAAAAGTATGGTATACATTTGTATTCAGCTGACAGTCACAGCTGACAGCCCTTTGTCTCTACAAGGAGAAAATGAGATTTGCTCCCATTCTTATTAGAAAATACAGAACAAGTTGGTTTTAGGTTGACTGGAGAGCGTATGAAGAACACTGATCAATGTTTGCCACATATTGATAAATAGATTTAAATTTAGACTTTGACTAGACAATCCCAACACATGAATGTGCTTTGATCTGATTGTATGTTTAGAGTATTTCTTCAACTGGATGGTGTGTTTTTTTTTTTGTTTGTTTGGGTTTTTTTAAAATGTTTTTTAATGTAATGGTCAGTGTACAGATGTAACATTTAAATGTTGGTCTTCTTATTGTTTCTAGCATTTCTACAACTTCCTCGGTCAGCCCAACAGTCTGGCAACTCTAGACCTCTCCAACACAGACTGCGCACTGGATCAGGTGAGGCCGCATGACTAACAGGAAGTGGCTAAAGGAAATGCAGTTGTATTGAGAAAACATTTTCATCAATCATAACAGAATGGCATAATAGAAAACTTTCAGCATTTCTTTCTTTAAACCATAACCTGTTGTTTGGGTTGTAGCTAAGTGGAAAACAACCTGCTGGCCAATGAATAACTTTGTTGTGGGAGGTGTAATCTCATTTTGCACACCCATTCAATTTGCTGTTGCAGGTCACTGCACGATGAAGTGGTCTGAATAGTGTTGGTGATATATTGATGTGGGTGTGACAGCCAGCCACGGCTTATTGATTGGTTTGAGAAGTAGCCAGCTGTCATACATTCGCTGAACTTATCGATTAAGCCTGAAATCATATTTTGTCGTTTCACAGTCAAATGGAAATGTGGACAAATAAAAGCGTTTTACCATGAAAACTGCCCACATATTCAAACACACTGTCATTTGAACGCCACATTGCAGAGACAATTGCAGTTATGTGAGGGTTTTGTTGTGTTTCAGGTTTGCTCAGCTTTGCTGCGAGGCTCAGCGCAACACCTCTCTATTCTCAATGTGTCCAAAAGCATCTTCCCTCACAGGTAAATAAATATCAACATTTTAATGGCTTAAAGGGAATGAAGAAATTTGTATCTTCCAAATGTTTTGTGAGTATTTGGGAGATCAGTGAGTTAAAATAAAAACTGACCAGATCAAGACTAGAGGAACAACGGTCCGTTATTTCCTACTTTGATAGAAATATTTGGGCCTTGTTTTTCTGTATAGAACTGTAAACTGAGAATTTTCTGCTGTTTTTGCTGCTTTTTATACTTCCACTGTCCATATCACATTGAGCATGTTTGTGTATGACACCTGCTGGCTACCAAGGGAAATTACATCATACATGCACTCATGATGTTTGGGGTTTGTGCTTTTGCCAACCTGGAATGTTTCTCCATGTTTTTCTCTCTGTGTCCTCGTATTTTGCAGCCCTTATTTATTAACATTCTCCTGATACAACTTGTTTGTGGAGCTCAGATAGATGTTTTTCTTAAAAGACAAATTAAATACACAACTGGGTGACGGGTTGATGTTGGTTTAAATTGTTGGTCTTACTGATTTTATTTTGTTTGTTTGCTTTTCCTCTTTGCACAGGAAAGGCAAAGAGGTGCCTCCATCATTTAAACATTTCTTCAGCAGCGCCACGTCTCTCAGCTCCATCAATGTGTCGGGAACCAAGCTGCCGCCAGAGGCTCTGAAGTGAGACAGAAATTTATTCACGAGTTCATATTCATTCCCTTACACAGCTGACATTCTTTAAGATGAGTCTCAAAATCTATGTCAAACAAGCAACTTCTACTTTTATCAGCATCCCTGGTAATGAGCTACACCTTTTTTATTAATATTTTATTAAAATGGCATTTTCACACTAAAATAAATACATGTGTAGCTTAATCTTTATTTAATTTTTAGGTGAATTGTGTGTACCACACTAATTGGCACCACTCCCATTAAAGTTTTTGCAATTCTCTTTGGCACTTCTTGTGTCTTAACATGACAAAAGATTGGATCAGAAACTCCATACTGAACTGATATTTAATGAATGGGTGTTTTTTATTATTATAAAACAATGTTGTTGTTTTTTTTTTTATTAAAAATCCTGATTCATAAACACGAATATTAAGTTGACTCTGTAAATATTTAATTTTCCTTGTTCTGCATTAAAGTTATCGCGTTTTGTATTCACCATGTAAACTTTGAATAGAGCACTGCTGCTTGGCCTGGCCAGTAATCCCAGTTTGAAGGACGTCTCACTGGATCTCAGCTGCTGTGAGGTAAGACCGTTTTATAACCCAGCGCACAATCGCTTTCATGTTCTACATGAATTAATTCCCTGTTTATTTGCTCAGTTTGTGTCAATAAAAACAGTCTAAATGATGGGTGCAGTAACATGCCCATATGATGAGAGCTGTTAAGATCCATTTGAGAATATTGGCGCTCAATCACATAATTAAACCTGACTAGTTGATGAAAACTTTGTTGGATGAATCAGAACACTCAACCATTGGAACCAAGGTTTGTATTTTTTATTGCATTCTCGTCTTTTTGATTGCTTCTGTTAGCTTAAGTTTTGCGATTCCAGTTTTCTCATCCAGTGCGGTGGAGCTTTTAGGATGCACTTGAAAACCACTTGACAGGCCAGTGGCAGTGCCAAGAGGCAGCATAATGGACTCGTTGGCAAACAGCAGGGAGTGGGTGATGGAGGAGGCGGGGAACAGAGGAGGGGAGTCCAGTTTCCCTCTATTTCATCACAGGATGCACTAAGGCTTGCTGCCATCTCCTGTCTCCCTTGTTTGAACAGAGACAGATTGCTGCAGAACATAATGACTAAAGATAGCTCATGAATACAAATTATACAGGATGTCTTCTTCTAAAAATCTTCTCCAACTGAACCTTCGGGGTGAAATGATGCCTTTTCAAAGCCTGTAATGAACCGTTCGACAGAGGCGGCCCTGAGCTGCTCTCAGTGAGCAAAACGGTGTGAAAAATCCAGCCTTTCTGCTACTCCCTGCTGAGCATGTTTTGCATGCCACTGTGTTTGTCTTTGATGAGTTTTGTGTTTGAACACAAGAATGATCATTAAGCATCTGTGGGTTTCGTTGTTAGTAATTGCTGGCTTGGCTTTGACATGCTGTTTTCTCCTCCTAATGCTTCTGTAAGCTTGGGCATTGTGTAAGTATCTATGCACTCGATCTGATTTATGAATGTCTTATTCTTCCCTCTTTTTTTTTTTTTTGCACGTCTGCTTCAGCACTTTCTTCTCCTGCTGATCATAATTGCCCCATCAGTTTTGTTCTGATTATCTAGTTGCTGTAATTTAGAAAAAAACAACATTCAAAAGGTTTTTCCTAGATTTTACATGTTGAACAATCATTGCAAAATAGTGTGTGAGAGAGGTAGTTCATAAAAAGTTGCCATAAAGTTGTTTCCATTTTAGAACAAATGTGTGTAGGATGTGATACACACAGCTAAAATATCTGTGCATGTTCTCTGAATATCTGCTAAAGTCTTGCTCTCTTTCCCCTTGTTGCATGTTGATTGACCCACAGACATGTCTTAATATCTATCATAAATCACTTTTACATGCAGTGTTTTCCGTCTGTGCTACCTCTGACCTTACGCTTTAATGCCTCACTGGAACTGAACAGTTTTGTTGTTAGTCCTACATCGTCCAGGTTAACTGTGATGTGTGCACTGATCGTAAAACGGTCAGACATTTTAGTTCCTGACACATGTCACAAGTTGCAGACGGTCAGGCTTAAACTCAACTATCTTCAATCTCACCATTTAATTTTTTTGCATAAATTTATGTTTTATGTTTATTGAAATGTGTACAAGCATTTACTCGTTAGTGAACTTATAAAACTTTGCAATATATGTTTTAAGTCTCCTAATAACAACACATTAACTCTCCCTGCCTTTTTTTGTTTTTCTTTTCAGCTTCGTTCGGGTGGCTCTCAGATCCTTGAAGGTTGTATTGCAGAGATCCCAAACATTTCCAGTCTGGATCTTTCAGATAATGGTGCGATGTCAACGCCTATGCTTGTGTACTTCTGAGTCAAAAATGACCAAAGATGTTTGAAAAACATAAATAAAAATGGAATAATCTCTCTGTTTAGGCTTGGACTCTGAGCTGTCCACTCTTCTTGTTTGGTTAGCCAAGAACCGCTCCATCAAACACCTGTCTTTGGGAAAGAACTTCAATAACATCAAGTCCAAGTAAGCATGCAGGAGGAGGGGTGGGGAATATGGATTTGGATGATGGAGGTATGCCTGGTTAGAATTGAAATGAACTTGACATTAAAATTTTATCTGATTGTTTTTTTTCTCTGACGTTCAACAGTGAAGGGGCAAATAGTCTTAAAAAACATACTAAGCACAAAGACAGCGAGATTTATTTGCTGCTAAAGCTGTTGAAGGCTTTTTACTACAACATGAATTATTAATTAATACAAGTTCACGTTTCTTGTCACCTAGCATAATCTGCTTCATTTCAAGCAGAGCAGACTTGCTGCTCTGCTTGAAATGAAGCGTTCTCTGCAAAGAAGGCTACATTTCAGATTTTTATTTTTAAAAATAATTATCACGGTACTTTTCAATTCTGTGTTTTCCGATAAAATACACAGAAGTTTTGTGTTGTAAAAGGATGAAATGTAAAAAAAAGCTCCAACTCTTCTTAAAACTGCTGCAATTTTTTCCTCCCTCGTCTCGTTTGTATTAGAAACCTTGCTCCAGTACTGGATGGCCTGGTTCACATGATTCAAGAAGAGGAGTCAGTAAGTATTTAATTTCTCCACCGTCTTCCATGTGAGTCATGAGTGTAGCGTTGTGCACCGATCAATAGTGCTAAAGGGAAGCCATCAAAGCACAGGGTTTGTGTTACACAGGAGTGTGTAACCTGCCATGTCGAGGAACTGTTACGCATGATGAGCCCTTCTCCCTATGGAGACTTAAAGAATTAGTCTAACCTTTCACAGTCCCTCAATCCATCTGCTTTGTCTTATCTCACCCTGTAATGAGAGATGTAACAGGTTTTACTCTGGTGTCTGCCCTTCTTTCTCTGCCTCCGTGATGGATTGATGGTCCTTCTGTGCAATGAGTTCAATTTCTCTTGGTGCTTATGCAGCGAGAGTGCAGGTGCATCATCATTCGTGTTGCGGGGGATGGTGTGTTTTTACTGGTATATCAGCTAGCGAAACTACACAGAAACTAAAATGGATGGAAGGTGGATTAAGATGGTGAATTAATGGAAAGATGTTCAGTGTGTGAACAGCAAGGAAATGTGGATTTTTTAAAATAAAGAATAATTATAGCACTGACCAAATCAGAGAGCACTTTTCTTTTTTTGTGTGCGCGAGTTGCACTTTTTTTACTGCATTGTACAAACCGTTAACAACCAGATCTGACGTTAAAGTGATCTTTGCTACTCTGTTTTTCAAAAGGGAATTATTGTAGAGCTAACACCTCAATGAGCGTGTTAAGCTGCATTGTCATGCTGTCTTTATAGGTAGTCACTGCCAGTCTGTCATGTGAGTGCAGTTCTCATTCTCTTAATATGACCTAGTGCTGCAAATTATTAGGAAACCTTGAGATATTACAGGTGAAGATTCCTACGTATAAAAGGACAGTGAAGGTCTATCTAAAGGGCCAAAACAGATTTTATTATATGGCACATGTGATATTTTTTATTTCGGACAGAGATATTGTGATTTGATTCATTGTGCTGTGTCCTCCCTTTCTCCTAACGTTCCTCCCCTTTTCCCCCAGCCCCTCACCTCTCTGTCTTTAGCAGACTCCAGACTCAAAAGTGACCTGACCATCATCCTCAATGCCCTCGGCAGCAACTCCACGCTCACCAGGCTGGACATCAGCGGCAATGCTATGGGGGACATGGGAGCGAAGATGCTGGCAAAGGCATTGCAAATCAACTCGAAACTCAGGTGACTCCCAGGGTGTTCAGGAACAAAAGACCATCCCACATGTCTGTCAGCTTTGCACTCATCAAACTGTTCCTTCTACATGCAGTGACCAGTCTGCGAGCTTCCTATAAAATTGTACTGTTAATGATAAAATTGATAAGCACACCTCAACAGTACGACAGACTTAAATACATTGGTAACCTCAGAATATTACAGTGACTAAAAGATACAAGTGAATCACAACTCAAGTTTTAGTTGGTTTATGTTTACATAGCATGCACTTTAGATAACTTCCATGCTTCAAAATCCATATGTTCTTTATTTTTTTGTGATAATAGAGTTGTCTGATTTTGTTTTGCTTTTGCACAGGACTGTAATCTGGGATAAAAACAACACCAGCCCTCAGGGCCTTCAGGATGTAGCAACCGCTCTGGAGAAGTAAGTAGTACTGTAAAATCGTATTATGACAGCGCAACATTTTCACTGACAGATTTACTCATGACTACATTTAGCAATGTGCATCTTGATATAAACCTATTCTCGATCTACATATATATGAATGAACATTTGACATTGTTACACTGAGCCTGTGCCTACATATTATGAGTAAAAACATATAAATTAAAAATGCACAGCAAGTGAAGAGATGAACGACATTCAGCTTTTCTACCTCTTACCAAGTTAAAATGTGTTACAGCAGTGATTTCTTCTACATTCATGCTGAGCAGAAAGAAAAACAGAGGAACTTGTAGACAAGAAAGAGGGAGAATAACAGAAAAAGGCAAAGTGACAAATGTGGAATTGTCAGATGACAAAATACAACCTAAGAGGGAAAAGGGAAACACATCAGAATAAGAAAAACATCAGGTCTAAAGCATCTGAGCTCTTGGTGGCTGTTCAGATGCAACCATGTCCTCTCTTTCTCGCTCTGATTCTTCCAGCTGTGTCGCCCCATTTCCCATTGAGTTGCTGGGTTGCATTATTCAAAAGATGATGTCTTTTTTTTTTCTTTTTTTTTTCCTTGTCCCTGATCATGATTCTGTGCAGCAGTCGTGTGTTTTTATCCATTCACTTAATGTTCTTCTGTCTCTGCAGCTCTGCTCATTCATTCCAGGTTTTTTTTCAGAAGTTCTGCACAGAATGTCAAATTTGTGTTTGTTTTAGAAGAAGCTTTGTATTTTATCCAGAATCTAGTCAGACTGGAATTTGAGTTAAATATTTTCACAAGTATGAAAAAAGATATGTGTATGATAAGTTATGTGTTTAATGACTTTTTGCCCTGGGCTGTTGTCCAAATGGATTCATCCACTTTGTTTTTATAGGACCAGTTTCACCTCTGTAGAAATAGCTGGCATTCACATTCTCACATTTCCTTTCATTAACAACTGAACTGGGAGCTCTTAAAGTATAAAATTTTATTATGAAAAATGTATGTAAATCCTGTTTTGCTACCTCTGAATTTTTGCTATGCTTATACTTTTGTTTGCTTAAATTAACTACAGCTAGATGTAGTTTATTTAATCTTTTTTTTGCAGCATCAGCTAATTATTTTTTTCTTTTCTTGCAAAGTCTTTGCATATTTTTCTCTTCTTGCATAATATAAACTCATACTGGAATGAAATTGTCTGTGTATTTGCATTAGAAACTTTACCATTCGCTTCATGCCCATCCCAATCATCGATGCCTCGCAGGCCCTGAAGGCCAGCCCTGAGAAAACAGAGGATGCCTTGCTAAAGGTACAGTACAGGTTACTTAAATTCTTCTATTTTTCCTACCTCATTAAAACTAATCTTTAAAATCAACAAAACACCAACTCTGTTTTAGATTTGCATGACCAGTGTTTATTAATCAAACATTTACTGTTTTTTTTCTTCCCAGATTGAGACGTATTTATACAGGAATCATGAAACGAGAAAGTACCTCCAGGAGCAGGCTTATCGCCTTCAGCAGGGCATCGTAACCACAACCACTCAGCAGGTGAATGAGCACAAGTAGACGAAGACAAGGATCTACACTGAGCACTGTTTTAATTCCACAACGATGCCATAGATCAATTTTTAAAAGTTTTGGACCTTCATTGGTTCCTGTTCTGAACGATTTGTCTTTAATGAGGATGTGACTGTTTGTCAAATGCAAATGCAAATACAGTGAAAGACAAACCATGTTGTTTTCCAGATGATAGACAGAATTTGTGTCAAAGTCCAAGACCATTTGAACTCACTGAAGAACTCCGAGGCTGACGCCATCTTGGAAGACGTCAGATCAGCGGAAAATCTCATCAAAGATGCAAGAAACTCTAAAACGGTGAGGAAACATGCAATAATTTTAACTTAGTGTTTTGCACACTTAGTGTTTTGGATTTTTTTGTCTTTTAGTTTCTATAAAAAATACGTTACATAAGCAATAACCTAATCAAATGACTGTAATTTTAAAGTGTAACTCTAGTGAGATTCAGCGCTTTAGATCACTGCAGCTTATCTTAAGAATGAATCAAAGTGTTTGTGGCACTGCTGTGAATACTGACTTCTCTCCGTGATCCTAGCTGCTCCGCAACCTTTACCACCTTGGATCAGCATCCAGAGAGGAGATGAACAGTTCATCTGCAGGTCCCATCCAGGAGAAACTGGAGTCCATGGCTGGAGAGGTCACCACCGTCATGGATCAGCAACTCCAGGTGGGATGTTTGGGCTAAGCATTTGGGGGAAAAAAACATCTATAACCTTTGGAAACTTAACAAAATTGGCATGACCGTTTTGTGATGTGGTTGGGGCTCTCAGTCTCTGCTAGAGTCCATGATGGACACTGCGGAGTCTCTGTGTCCACATGTGATGAAGAGGGGAAATCTTCGTCCTGAGTTGATGAAGGCGAGCTCAACCAAGATGGTTGTACCTAAATGCTTCGTCACTCAAACCCTCCTGGAGCAGTCTGGGGTGGATATCATCAACAAGATCAGGTCTGTGTCGCCACTGCATTAGCTTTGAAGGCTTTTTTATTTTTATATTGATTTTTTTACTGTCTCTCATCTTCTGAAATTGCTCAGTGAGGTGAAACTGAGTCTGGCCTCCTTGCTGTCGGATCGCATCGTTGATGAGATCTTAGAGGCTCTCTCCACATCACAGCTCACACTGGTAAGAAGACGCCAGTTTACTTCTTCTTGCCACAGCCAGAGGAATATATCAAAATAAAACAAATCCAGAGTCAAGTTGATGAAATTCTTAAGTTAACACCTCATGTTTGCTACTATTATTTATGCTCAGGAAAGCCGAACCCTGTCTACAGCCTCTCTCTGGTTTTTCTCCTACTTGTCTCATCAGGCAGACCATCTTGTGCAACGAGGACGCCGCTTGGTGCAGCAGGAGTCTGTGGATCTGGACGTGCCTGAGGAGAAGATTCCTAAACGAGCGTCAGCTGAGATTCTCGAAGCAGAAAGGCTTGAGGACCTGGAAACCTGCATGGTAGGTGACCACTTTGTATTTTGTGGGTAAACCAGTCCACTGGCCAGCACTGGCCACAGAGGATTTTATTAAATCCACTTTTTTTCTTTGCACCATTTATTGTATTATTATTATTTTTTTTTTGATTAATTTAGATTTCCTTTCACATCTTTGTGCAAATAATTTGTTTTATATTGTGTAAAGTTTTAAAATGTCAATGTACCTTTCTCAACACATTTTTATTTTATACTTTGGTTTTATTACTACCTTGATCATTTTTTTCTCTGAAGTGTTTTTTGGAAATATTTTTCAGGAAGTGATCCAACTTTCAGCTTGAGTCATTTTTATCGTTTTTATTTTTATCTAATTTACTTTGGTGGCATTTTAATTTGTAAAACTATTTGAATGACTTCACAGGGAAGCCTTAGTGCAGCACAGTCTCCTGTCATCTGTTGTCTTCTATAGAACTTGTGCCCATAAGTATATTCACCCCTGCTCTTGATCTTGTTTCTTCCTCTTCTTTTGCTGCATGAGTTTTTCATTTTCCTCCTTAAGCCATATGGTGTGTTATTTTCTCTTCAATCTTCTCTTCTGTTCCTTCTTGCCCTTTCTACCTTTGCTCCTTGGAGACTCTGTGCTGCACCAGCGTAAGTAACACAGGACTGCCCCTCTGTACACTCCTTTCTCTCCCATTTTTGTCTTACTTTATTTTTCACCTCTCTTCAATGTGCTTGCTTGCTGGACAGTCTCTGTGGCTTCTATGCTGCTCTGTCTCATCTGCTTCAAAATCTGTACACAAAATGCACTTTATGTGACTAACGGTAATTTGTTCTTATCTTGTTGAATAATAGATTTCATAAATCTCTGCACTATTTTTTTTTGTCACACTGCTCTGTTCCTCGTCATGAAGTGCACAGTTTGTCGTTGTCACTATGTGAGTGTGGGTCAGAATCAAAATGGGATGCATTAAGAAGTCACTATGAACAGAGTGCTTGTAATGATCCAGAGAAATATCCCAGTTCAGTCACTTAATACTCCAATATTATCTGGTAGTTAGTCTTTTAAGATTTACACACAGTGAAATTACAATCTTTTGTTGGTATTTTTGAAGTTATGCTTTTTTATAATAATAACCTGCAAAACTGCTCAGGTTTTTGGGAGGAATGTTTTGCAAACATTATGATATTCTGACCTCCATCAGTTGTACAAATAAAAGACAGAACGTTACAGCACACTGCCATGCAGTCTATAAAGAAAATGAAAGTTCATGATGATGTGTTTGGAGCTCCGGGGTTTGGTGGATGATAATACATGCGTTTGTTGTTTTTGATTTATTTTTAATTTGCACAAACTTGATGAGCTTAACGGACTTCCACACGCGTTGTACTAGAAATGCTTGCTTGTTTAAAAACCACCATTTTTTGTTTCTGCTGTTAAGATGTCTGACTAATTTCTGCTGTTCTCTTCAGATGACTCCTAAGTCGAAAAGGAAAAGCATTCACAGCAGAATGCTGCGGCCTGTGTCTCGTGCCTTTGGTAAGTTGTTTCATTCTCAATTTAACTTTAACGTATCAATGAAATTTTTTGAAATAAGCTTAGACACAGTCAGGGTGCTGTAAATATCAGCAAATCCCATATAGCTTGTAATCTGTTGTTTGCTAAGGGACTTTCAACTAAATGCCATATTTTGGCATTTTATTTAGATTTTATCCAAAATACATTCATAGATCCATCCATCCCATTTTCAAACTTCATTTAAGTTATTTCCTTGTATAATAATTTCAGCCTGTAGCAAAGTTCAGATAAACTACAAACCTCCACAAAATTAATGAGATCAATAGCTTTAATGAGCTTATTTTAACTTCTGAGCAGTTGAGTTGCCCCTGGATGTTTTATTTGTTTTATTCTTTGGTGTGTGAACTTATTAAAGTTAATGGAATGACAAATGTGTCCATGTTTAATAATCTTATCAAAATTCAAACCTGCAGAGATGGAGTTCGATCTCGACAAGGCCCTGGAGGATGTTCCCGTCTACATGGAAAACGCCTCCACTTCGTCCCAAGCTCCTCCTACTCCATCTGCAGGAGGGCCCAAAGCGGAGCAGCGTCCGACCGGAGCCATCGCAGAGCTGCCGTCTGAGGAGGAGAAGAAACTGCAGCATTTCACCAAACTACGACCGCGAAGGAACAAAAAGATGCATTCTAGTAAAGTAGCTGTAAGTGAAACATTGCTTCTCTTTTACAAAGTAAATGCTAGTCAGAAGTTATTAAGTCATTGTCAATAATTTAAGTTGCTGGCCTTGCAAGTGCTGAATTAAACAGGTAAGAGTAGATCATTGATATTGGATCTTTCTTCTTTTTTACTTTTTGTCTTTTAGCAAATTAACAACACTCCATCTCAAGATGGCGGCGAACAAAATGGCCTGATGGGCAGAGTGGATGAAGGAGTGGATGAATTTTTTTCTAAGAAAGTCACCAAGATGGATTCAAAGTGAGAAACTACTGAAAAATGACAGATAAAATAGTTCAAATAAACGCATTTTGTTAAACATGAACATATTCTTATATTTGATCATCTGTTTAGTTTTGACCTTGACATTCTATGCTTCTCTACTGCCTCCTTTAAGACGGTCTTCAAAGAGCTCAGAATCTCAAGATGGAGAAAAGAAGAAGAGTAAAGGAGGATTTCTGAATCTCATCAAGCGATCCTCCAAATCCGATAAGTCTGACAAATCTGACAAATCAGATAAGTCAGAAAAAAGTCAAGCAGCTCCAACATCCTGTGGTGCGCCCGCAGCCTCTACTGCAGCCTCTGCAATCCCAGAGGAGCCCTCCTCCCCAAAGGTGGCAGTCAGGAGCCCACCTCCTGAACCAAAGTCGAGGTATAGCTAACACCTGATCACACCTAACGTTCGCCTCAGTTTCAACTCCTCTAACGGCGTCTGTCTCCAATCCAGAGACTCCTCCACCCGCTCACAGCCCACAGACTACAGCAGCAGCTCAGACCGGTCCGAAGAACTGAGGACTCCGGACTCCATAGATGAACCCTGGGAGGGCTCAGACGGCAGGGGAAGTCCTCAAGGCGGGAAGAGGTACACTGGGGTTCAGATGATGGGAAGTGGCCTCTTGGCAGAGATGAAAGCAAAACATGAGAGGAGAGCATACAAGGTGAGTGATGTCAGGTGGAGCAAAAATTATGTGGTAGTTTTAGAGAATAATAAAACCATCCATCCACTTTCTACAAGAAATTTTCCCTTTATTCATTTTTCTGTGCACACTAGTTTGAACACCTTGAGAACAAATAAGTGATTAGAAATCTGAGTCTGGAAAACTATGACCTGAGTTTTGCTTTATGTCACCCAACAAATAAAATGAAAGTCTAATCCAATTGTTGGCAAAATTACACAAATTGTATATTTTTCTTTGACTACATTTGGGTATGACATTTTTAGTTTTATTTTTTTTCTCAGCAAGTCATCCCAATATGTGCTTCATATTTGCAACATTATTATTTATAGGCTGAAGTCAGAGCTGCTCCAACCCTCTGCTTGTTCTAGCAGGGTTCTAAGTGTGTGTGCAGGTGAAACGGGGAGCACTGTTTTCTGAAAGAAGGTCATAGAGAGTAGGAGCTGCATTGTCTGTGTTTCACTATGTCGGTCATTTATTCTCTGAGATGTAGCTGTAAATTTGTGTTCTTTTAGAAAACTGCATTAAAAGAAATGTCTACATCTGTTTGTAACAGGCAGTGATTCCATATTTTGTCTTTGTGTGTCTTTAGTCTTCCAGCCCTGACAGGCCTGACAGCAATGCAACAGGTAAGCTATAAGGAGAAATTTATGATTAAAACGTACCAAAGAAAACGTTTGTAGATCAAAGCATCCTCATGCTTAGCCCAGACAGCCCTGTGGGAAGACTTGAAATGTTTTCAGTTCTTACAGCAAACAGTCTGACTGAAAAGAGCTTTATTGACTGTACAATGTAATGATTTGTGAATGCTGAATACAAATGCACACCACACATTTTGAGTTTTGTAATTTGAAAATACTTTTTCAAATTAGGCTTTTTATTCTCCTTCATAATTTTGTGCCACTTGTAATACAATGCATTAAAGTTTGGTTTGTATTGGGATGAAATGCAGCAATGATGAGGAAATACTTTTGCAAGGCAATGTATTTAGATGATTTCTGGTGGTGATTTCAAAGAGTTATTATTTTATTCTTTCTTTTTCTTGTTGTTTTTTTTTTTTTTTTTTTTGCATTTGTTGACAGCCAAATCCCAGTCCTCAACTACTGAAAGCAAGACTTCCAGTTGTCCCACTAACAAAGCCAATGCTGCTGGTGCAGAAAAGTCTTCACCCCATAGTGAAGCAAAGTCTGAACCTTCGGCTCGCCTCAGAGCTACGTCTTCCTCAACTTCCCCTGCAGGACCAGTAAATCCTAAGCCACCAGTGCCACAAGGAGCAAAGCCAACCCTGGCTGCACGGCCCACCATCCCCCAGAAGCCGAGGGCCAGCAGCAGCAGGAGCATAGGTATGATACGCAGTCTGCACAAGCTGTCTGCAGCCTTGCCAGGCTTTTTGAATCACTTTAAAAACAGCCAAATTTTTACAAAGTTATGTTTCATGCCTGTTTTTTCATAAAGATGAGAGTTCAGCTTCCCTCATTGGCAGCGGCCATGTATCTCCCAAAATTCTGCCATCCACCCTAAAAAGGACAATGTCAGAAAAAGACAAGGAGCCCGTTCTGCAGACCGGAGTTTCCACCAACAAAAGCCACCAGGAAGGTGAGTCACAAAATCAGCTGAAAACTTTCAGTTTCACACACTAAATAATCTTAGCAGCCTCTTATGAACAGTTTTAACTGTGTTAATCTAACAGAGTTAGTTCCCCTGTGACCTCATGTTGCTGATAGATCATGTACTGAGGTACACACAGTAGTTGACAGTTCCTTCTACTTGGAAAAAACAGATGGCTATAAGATTTCAATTACTGTATTTATTTGTTTAATGAAGACCGACATTAAAGAAAGGTGTGTTTTGATTCCTCTCAATCGACACGAAGAAACATCAAATTTCGATCCCTGGATTTTTCTCCCATTTCCTCCTCTTGTCCTTTATTAAAGAATAGAGTTGAATTTGTAAAATGGTAAATCGATCTTCTGAGGACAGGTCATAGAAATATGGCAAAATATCAATTTACATTTATGGGATTTTGGCTTATTTTTGTTTTGTTTTCCATTTGTTCCAGTTACAGTATTAATGTTATTTTAATTGTGTCTGTTGTTTTCAGTGAAGTCAGCATCAGATGCTGCTCAGAGATCCAGTCCTCACTGCACCAACGCTGATGACCCGGGCTCCGTCAAAACCAAGGACAACTGTGCAAATACAGACAAAAGCAAAGCAACCAGAAAGAAGTCCTCGGACTCGGGGGAAGAGGCAGATAAGGATTTTATACTGATATGAGCCACTCACCAAGTCTCAGACTCCTTTATAGAAAACTAACTCCAAGGGGATAAATCTCCCATGGTTTATTTTTACAATATGATGCATACCTGCAGGTCCAGTTTGACTACAAAGTACAAGTCAGACCTGGTAGGCATGAGTTGTGCTCTAGAAGCAGAAACACAGTTTTGACCTTAATGCATGACGGATATGACCGCAGTGGATGCAGAACGCCTCCAAAGCAAAAACCAAAACTGTGCTTCAACTCATGAGAGCTTCCTTGATCCAAACAGTATTTTTCTCCTTTACTCATCCTCACTTTTCTTACTAACTCTTCAGGGTCTGAGAAGATGAATCATCAGGGTTTGGTCCTACTCACTTAGACCATAAATAATAAATCATGAAGTGCAGGCAAAGCTTGAAATCTCTAAAAATAAAGCAGGGTGCTTTGAGAGAGTGTGATTACAACTAACTACTATTTTCTACTGCTTTGCTGCCACAGCTTGACACCCAGGGACCAAACACAACAATAACCGCCACATACCACTTCACTGTACTTGAAGCCAAAACATATTAGCAAATCAGGACCGTTTCTGATATATTTTTGATGGCTTTTATAACACTCTGTTTTCTGTATGTTCTACTATATAGGATTCAAAGTGACTGAAAATGTTATGCAATTTCCTTTTTTCATTATTTGCAGGAATAAGCAGGTTTCAGCTGAGTGTCTCAGCAAAGACACAGATCAGAGATGTGTGATTTACTTTATAAGTGGAACATCTGCAGACTGATGCACATTAAGCAACAGTGTGTATTGCTCCATGTGAAAGCTGGAGTGGCCATATGATGTGTTACTGCTTTGAGAGGACTGTGGTACACTTTGTCTTTACTGATAATCAGTATGGCTTCAGCACTGTTAAATTACTCTTTTATATTCAAACACTGTGGAAAAGATTTTTTGCGTTTTTTTTTTTTTCAATTTGAGAAAGGAGCTTTGGGAATATATTTAAAGTGCAATAGAGAGCTATGTTTGGTTCTTTCTGGAGCATATCTGTAGTGTAATTTCTTTAAAAGTTTTGAACTCTTTTTTGTTTGTTATTTTTGTAAATAAAGAACATTGAGAATTTGAATTGCTCCTAGAAAGACTTGAATCCCATTCATTAAGACTATGCTAGTGTTCTACATGTCCAGTGACAACAAGGAACTTACTGCAAAATAGGACTGTTGCATAAAGAAATCTCAGTAGAACAAGACAGTTCGAGACAGTCTTAGTTCTTTGTGTAAAAGCAAAACACTGAAGGAACTCCAGCACACAAGTTTTCTTAAATAGTCTGCCTCATTTTGTCATTAGTTAGATTAGCGATTTGAAAAAGTTCTTAATTCTTCTTTATGCCTAAGAATAAAGAAATGCACAGAATAAAGGCGGCAATCGTACTGCTTGTTTAAAAAACAGTAATGCACTGTGTGGGGTGAAAGTGAACCGTCGGTGGGTGTATAATAATTGTGTGGCATCAGCTCGGCCGTCAGGCCGATTCTCCTGTTTTGGTTTTAAGTCGACATGCCTGTTTCACACTGCTGTAGAGTTTGACTAATTATGAAAATGAATTTGTGTAATAATGATAAAAATAAAAAAAAAACTCGTGTAAATGAATGATGATTAACACTACACTGTTTACAATTTAAATATCTGATTGTTTTCTCAAATATTTCCATGCCATACAAACACAGTGTGGGATGATCATTACATTTCTGTTCTGCTATGTCATGATTGTGTTGGGGGTACTTCTCAATTTTCTGTGACTATTGTGAATAAATAGAAACAAACAAGAAAACATAATTGTTGCTGGGATAAATAAAATGTAGATTGATGAAATACAATGCTAGATTTCCAGGGCACATGGCTGTATTTTTATTTTTTTCTATGTGTCAGCATTTGTGTGCATTCTGCCACTGTGTGAATGCAATTGCATGCAGCAAAATGAACAGGGCTCCTAAATATGCAGCCTGAATCAGATTTTAATCACCGTCCACGTCTGGGTAAATCTGGAAAATTGTCAGAAAAGTTTGATAAAATCCTAAATTTCAAAAAACAATGAAGAGTGACCTTTTCAGAACTGCAATTTTTGATTTATTAAATTAAAACTTAAATTTTACGTAACTGAAATTTTTATTTTTTTGATTACCAGTTTAAAATCTGACGAAAACACTTGAAACAGAGTTACTAGAGTCTAAATCCTGCTTCATGTCTAAATATCAAGAAAGTTTCTATCATTTCTATCTGTTTTGCTCAAATATTTGTTAAAGAAGAATAAAGAAAATGTTATCCCAGATTACAAATTTTGCTTTAAATGCTCAAGTTTTATTGGTGGATATGTTTGTGCAGCCCTTTTTTTTCCACTTTAAAAGATTCAGATTGAAGTCGGGGCCAGAGCTCTGACTAGTGCACCTTTCCCACAATGTGGTGTCTGATGATGTCCTTTTATGGCGTTACAGGGGGCTGTCCTTTTCTAGTCACTCTTCACGGTTTACAGATATTATTTCTAGTGTATATACTCAATCTGTCCTGGGTGTACATGATGACAGAATCATCTTTTTTGTCTCTGAAGTGTCTCTGGACACTAAAAATTACAGGATGCTTCGACATTGCATGTTGTTTAAATTTAATACACTCATATGTGGCCATTTCTGAGCTTTTCTTTTTGCAGTAGCAGTAGCAGCACAATGCAGCACAAGAGTTTCTGTTGCATTGTGATGGAGACTGAAGATAAGTTGAGAATTATTCAACAACATGAGGATCTGGTTCTTTCTGTTGCTGTTCAGTGTACAAACATGCCAGTTCTCGGTAGCATTCGGTCTAGAGGTGCCAGTCTGTATGTGACTGCATGATGTGGCTGTGAGTATTTCTGTATGTACATATGTGCTTTCTTACATATAGGGCCCCATGTGTTTATGTGTGTGTCAGCACATGTAACACATTCACACGCCTATGTGAAAACATGGAATCCTACGTTGTTTTGTACTAAGTGCACTACTATACTAGGGATCTGTTTGTAACTTATTTGAAATAAAATAAAGCAACTGGAGGCTGATGTTCTTTGTCGATTTTTATGTTTGTTGTCACTTTGAACGTGTTTTAGAAAATGAAACAAACTTTACCTGGAACTACATGATAGAAATTGAATGTTTGGTCATCTGTTTAATTAAATTGTTTCTTGTTCTGTCATGACTTGGCATGTTTTAATCATCCATGTGTTGGGAGTTTTTATGCAACTATTAATACTGATTAAAGTTATTTTACATTCTGTTTCATGTTTTCATGGGTCTCATTTGATACATTTCCAGTCAGCCTCTTAGGGGAACTTATTTTGCTCTGCAGTGTAACAAAACCTCCACTAGATGGCGCATTTGTTCTGTACTGTAAAATCCCACATTTTATCCCACAGACTTGACTTACTGACATACAGAAGAAGGGGGTGTGGTTTTTAGTTGAGAGAGCATATGTCAAGCAAGCAGACGGCTCAGGAGTTCATCTCTTCAGACGTCCTTGTTGCAGACGTACGTGCAAAAGTTTTACGTTTTCTTTGGAAAGATGGAGAGTTCTTTTGACAACCTGGATGCAGTAGGTTTCTTGGAAATCTGGCAACACTTTGATGCAGATGGTGAGGACATTTCATGTCATCTTGCTATTCTTTAACATGAACTGGTTTCAGATTTGACCATTTTGCTTGGCTTGCATTGCGAGACCTCAGATGGTTTATATGTATCATAGATGTAGAGGCAACTGTGATGCTAGAAATAAGTATGCACTGAACACGTAAGAGAATAAGTAGTTTTTCATGGATTATTGAAAAATCTTTTATGAATCTACTTTTTATACACATTCCAACTGTTTGATTTCCGTTCTTGTTTTTGTAGACAATGGCTACATTGAGGGTAAAGAGCTGGATGAGTTTTTCCGGCACATGATGAAAAGATTGGGGCCACAGGTGAGTGAATGTCTTATCTGCAGAAATAATCCACTAATTTATAACTACACTTTCACAGACAGTAAGCAACATTTTGTGGCATCATCTGCATGTGCTTCTGATTGTACAACCTGAAAGAAACAGCAGTGTGGTGCAGTTGATTGTATTTGAAGTTGTCATTTCTTCTTTTTCCCCATTTGAAAGGTTAATGGGTTCACATCTTTATGGAGCACATGTGAGAAAAGTAAGGTGTAGCATCATTTACTGGAAATGACTGCGAAGTTAGCAGAAATTATAGATTTCTGCTGTCTGGGTAGCCAAAGACGTTTACAATGGGTGAGATCTCTGTAGTGATGCTGGACAGTATATTTAAAAAACATCCGAAAACTATCAGAGAACAATCTAAGTCGATACCGTTCTGAGCAGAGATGGAGAAGAAGAGCCTGTTGGCCATGTTCACTAATGGCACAGCATGTTTGCAGAGCAAAGTTAAATGTGGTTAAGCTGAGTGATGGCCAAGCCCTTTTCCTGCCCAGTTTTAATGGAAACTCCAATAAGCACACATCCACTGTCGTTCTTCTGCGTTCTGAGCAGACTCCCTTGGATACTAATTGGGTTGCACTAAAACAAACAGATTGCCACTCTTATACTATACTCTCTTTTCTGATGTTTGCTCTCCGCCACTAATGCCCTCAGGAGGGAGGATGTTCAATGGATTTCTGTCAAGCTGCAAAGACATTGGACAGCCATCCCATCTGCTCTGACTGTCATTTACTGCTGTGTATCATTTTGTTGCCAATTTTTACTGTGGTTTGTCAGCCTTCTTTTTTTTTTACTCCGATATAATTAGTTTCTGTTCATTGTACTGTACTGATGTGTCAGTAATTTTGAAATGTGACCTGAAGTGGAGTTTACATTTTGTCTGGTTAAATTACACACACACATTTTTGCATAATCAAAAGAATAAAGGATAAAAAACTGAAGAAGGGAACAGCTGTGACGCCTCTGAAAAAGACAGAAACATGTCAGGTATGAAGAGACCTAAAATAATTCAGCAACTGTATGACAGATTAACAAATCAGTTTCAGAGATTTGGGATTTTAAAAAAGAAAGAAAATGCCTCCTAATTGCAAAGTCCTGATTTGACAAGTCTGTGTGTTTTGAAATTTAAAATAGTCATTTTGATTTTTTACTTTTTTGTCATACAATTTTACATCTGTTGAATATATCTGAGACTTGCCAGATGTTATGCTTGCCTTTGTTTTCAGTGTCATTGTCTGAGTGACCGTGGTAGTTTGGGTCTCTTGATGTTGATTTGTGATAACTCTGTGGCACCTTATGGTCTGCAGATTGTGTCCTCTGCTCTGCACAAAGCGATCATTCAGGTTTAAGCACCATGGATCAACATGTTTCTATAGTCACAGGAAGGTGACTGGAAAGTTGGTTGCTAAGTAGAACAATTTCATCACCTGGAAGTATAATTACCTTCAGATGTGACTGGAACCTAAATTGAGATTAGTTTTATAGAATATTTGGAAAAACTCAGACAAACATACAAAAAAACAAAAAACAAATGGATCTCAATCTCAAACTGTTTATTCATATGCCCGATCCGTTTTACACATACGTTTACTCTATTCCCATTTCCTGAGTGTTGGTAGTTTGTTGCGATTTATTTTTGTCTGAAACTGTATAGACAGGGAGTTCTGACCCCTGCAGGTCTGGAGATGTCAGGACTCTACTGCTGCTTGATTAGTGGGGTATATTACACCTGAGACTAGTGGGTCACATGGGAACTGAAGTGCTCCTGTCAGACTGACCTCTTTATAGGCTGCCCTTCACAAAAGAGTAGGTCTTTTGTTTGCACATAATCCTCACAGTGACAACCTTTAAAAATGCTACTGACTGATTTCTACATCTCATGAAGCAAGCAGTCAATTTGGGACAGTTGATTTGCAGAGAGCCAAATAGTCAATAGAGGATTTCTGCTGGATTGGATATGTCAAACAACTTCTGTTGTTGGACCTCATGGTTAGGGTCAAGTGCCATAGACCCTGTTAGTTTGCTTGAGTTCAAAAAGCAGATCTTGAGGGAGGAAACAGACTTTGATTAAAGATGTATCCATGGAGAGAACGATTAAAAAACAACCGACAAAGCTGGAGACGTAGACTTGTTTTTTTATGTAGTCTGGTTCTTTATATTCTTTATATTATATTCTTTACATTTAAAATATTGTGTTGTATTTCCTTCAAAATCAGACTTTATTCACATTGAGTTTGGTTTGGAGTGAAACAAAACTGAAAATCAGTGATTCATTTTGATTAGTTTTGTTTTTTTCACAGGAGAAAGCCACTGAGGAGAGAGTTCAGAGACTGAAGCAGAGGTTCATGTCTGCCTATGATGTGACTGCTGATGGTAAACTACAGATTCAAGAGGTACTATTGTTCATGCCTCGTTTATATTAGTCATAAACCAATTTAAATATGTTTCTTGCACAATTCTGCTTCAGTTAAACAAAAATTATTGGTATTATGGAGGGTTTGGGCACAGGTTTTTCTGATTTAAGCAGCAGATCTGAAATGGGACTGATTATAATTATGATGATAAAAGACGAATGACTGATATAGACAAGCTCTCTATCAGCTTGTCTTCTTCCTGTAATCCATCCTCATTCATTGGTCCAGGACAAATTCTCCTGTTGCTCTGTGGTTCAGACTGACGTTCTCATACTTTTTGTTGTGGGTTTTTTTTAGCAGTAAATTTGGTCAGCATGGTCTCTTTACATCCCTATAGAAATCCTGATGAGGTGAAATAAGATCAGTGCTTATCTGTCTTTAGGTGTATATTTCTGACTTTACCTTTTCAAATCATCAAAAGTTTACTAACTGTTTTGCAATGATTTTCTCAGCTCTATTGAGAATTACAGCAGAATCTTATCTTATTCAAAGTATGTTGTGAACACTGTTCAGTGTGGCATTTAAGGCTTCAGGCCTGACAATAAAAAGGCCCCTGTAAGCAGAAACTCTTTGGGACTGGTTGTGATTTGGACAAACTGGGAAACAGCATTATATATGTATTATGCAAACATTTTAAAACTGTTTTTTAGTTACTCTCAAATGTAATTACTATCACACTTTGAGGCTCTTTGTATCTTCAGCTTCCTCTCCACACGGCTGCTTTGTTTTTGTCAAACGTGACGCATTTAAAAGCTGCTTGCTTTGAGCCTACTTCCTCTTTATTCTACGGCAGCATCATCTGACTTCAGTCCCATTCCTTTTTAATCAACCACCCTTCTCTTAAAACCATTTGAAATTAACACCAACGTTGTGCAAGACAGAACTGCCGTCCAAACCATCTTGTGTTCTCAAACGCTCCAAAGTGGAAATAACTCAATTGTTCCTCACTCAGTTTTTTTTTTTTTTTTTTTTTTTTACATAAAATACACATTTAATAATCGCATGCTGCTTACCTCAGTTCTCTCCAGAAGTTTCTGATATGCTGGAACTGATTCTTACTAGTTTAAGTCACCTTTATTATTTTCACATTGATCCCAGGCTGCAGTCTAGTTAATCAGGATATCTCATAGTCTAAGACAACATAATCCTCTCCAAAGTAGTTAAGTGTATTATTTATTCCAGAGGACAGAAACTATTCATTTGGATCACTCCTTTAATGAATTACACCAACAGAACCAAAGGCTTCAAGCTTCCTCTAATACGGAAAGAAGAAATCAATATGCTTTTTCTATTAGTGGCTTGTTACGTACAGTGATTTATTGTAGTTGAAGCAGGAAGGGTGAGCTCAACATGGCGCACCCCTGGCTATCTGCCTTTTTTCTTTATTAAAAGAAATGATCCTGAATCCATAACTCACATCTCCTGCCAAGAATCAGTTCCAACAAGTGCTGTTGTAGCAATTTCAGATGTTTAACAGGATGTTTCCAATCTACCTGCACTGATCTTACTTAGAGGAGCTCAATACGATTGTAACTTTAAATTAATTCACATTAGAAGTTTTATGTACATGTCTTCATTGGTTACATATATTTCATTTTATCCTATTATGCCAAAGCTATAATTTTTATGCATACTTTTCAGACCCTTACATTTTTACCAGAGGTAATTTCTGCAAAGACTAGCTGTAATGTGAGGTCATTTAAAAAGGCAATGTAAAATGTAAAAAAAAACCCATCTAAATAAAAAAATTAAGATGAATTAATAGTCATACAAAAACTAACCTAAAATATTTTTTTCTTTTTGGAAAAACTTTGAAATTAACAGTAACTGTTAATTGGGATACTTTAAGTGTTTTGTCATTTGGTTTTTATGGCATGTTAC